GTGCCAAATTTGGTTTCATTTGGAGCATTGGAAATTCCCCTGCTTATTATTATTGTTTTTTTGAATTTGGATAATTTTTCGATTTATGCATGTCATCCTCGAGCAGGGCCCATGCTAATCTTTTGTGTATCGTTCCAATTTTAACGGATGTCCCGAAGAACAAATTTTAAATTTTTATGATATTGGAATGTTGACAAAGTTTGCATAAAGGTGCATTTTTGCCTTGCTGTTTTAGAAGGTTCTTTTTTTTTTTGTCTTTCATTTTGCAATTAGTTAGTATAGTCACCATTATGAATTGGTGGTGAGTTCGATTAAAATTACCCTTGAGTGTTGTTATAAATGACATGACAAATTATACGAAAATTTAAACCTTTGTTGACCTGCTCTCAAGTGTGTGTACCAACTCAAACTTTGCCTCTACGTGCTCAAACATTGGATCTGGAAGATCAAGGGAAAAACTCGATCTAAAATTGAAAGTTTTTGAGTCTCAATTTTTTTCTTCTTTCAAGTACCCCTCAACTTTGTGTTTTGGTAGGTTTATCGTTGTAGCTTGGTAATCGATCCTCAGCCATACGAAATTCCGCAACCAAACGGAGTGGTAACCACCGTTGTACCAGTCGGATGTCTTTCCCATTGCAACAGTGACCTCGTGTCCAAAATTTACGTCGTACCGGTCCTGATATTCAACCCACCCTAGCACCATTGCAGCAAGAACTTACATCGTCAACGCTGGACATCCATGAAATCTTCCACGCAGAATCCAAAACCCTCCGCAGTTGCCGACCAACATTCCTTACACCAAAATCCAGGTGAACATCCCCTAGTTGCTTAATGGGCTCGCACCTTTTGGTAGGTTTATTTGAGTGGGCCAAGGTACCATTTGTGCCTCGTTTCATCCTAGGTTATAGATCTTGCTATTATCAATAGCTAGATCTCCTCCGATTTACATCCAAGTGGGCCTAGGTGAGAGTTAGAACCCGTGGGGCTCTATCTCTCACTTTCAAGTTTACCTAGTCTCACTTTTTTGCCAAGTGCGCTGTGTTGTCTGCTTTCTCTTGTGTTTCTTCCATTTCGGGATGCCAACTCATTCCGGAGTTCTCCGTTTGCCTTTTTTATTCTTATCCATTGATCTGAACTTCAGATCGCTGACTAAAATGAACCACTTGTACCTCCTAAATTGTTGGGAAAATAGGAAAAAGTGCCAGTTTTCCCAAACTCCTAAACGACGGCTGCCATTTAGAAATCTGATCGGCGGCCGTTTCGTTTCAGCCTCTGGAAAGGTCGGGAGTGCACCCAAAGCCCGCTATTTTCCCACGCGGCAAAGGTACTAGTTTAACTTTCTTTATTTTATTCAAATAATGAGAGAGAATGCCCCAAAGGCCTTATCTCTTCACCCCGCATTTGGTGGCATTAGATCCAGAAATCCAGCCAAGGTAGGGAGCAGCCAATCTAAACTATGACAATCCTATTGAGCGGACAACTCACCTTCGCCTTTGCCTTCCTCTTGGTCTCTTCCTTTATAATTTTTCCCTTCTTCTTTTTAGTTTTCTTTTCCTTCCTTTCTCCTTTGGACAAGTGACAGATTGTTATGCTCCTATTTCCAAGACCTTAGATAGGATATACATTAAGAACTAGGCCATAGTCTGAGGTACCTCAGACTACAATAATGGCGCCGCCTTGCCCACGCCACCCTTCAAACCATTTCCTTTAGTCTGATTTAATGGCCCCCCCTACTTCAACTTGTCCTAGTCCCATTATTTTCAACTCGGGACCCCACAGCCTTCAATTGTTTTACACATTGGTGGTCCGAGATAACTCGAACCATCTCTTGAACCCCCCTTCACTCCTTTGCCCCTACACTTTTTCTGATCGTTCCCATTTGTTACGTTATCCCATGCCATCCCATGCCATTCCGGGATAACATACAGTTTTGGTCCTTTTGGAGATCCGATGGCCAGCATTGTCGTCGTGCCAGTGAGGTTGCCTGCTGTTATACACGGGTTACTATACCGAACAGAGGTCGAGCTGGTGATGCATTGACGCATGTCACATACATATAATGACTTAAGGATGCATGTACTATTTGATTGAAGCCAAAGAGCTCTTGAAGGGCCTATACATCACAACTACATGAACTCCTGCCTTGCAGCAGGCGTATCGAAAATCAGACTACCTGTATATCAGCAGGGAACCAAAAGATCTTTGGGGCTCCCAATAGGAACATGGAACAAAACAGTTCGAACTTCCTAGCCAGAAATGGGTTTACCATCTAAAAGCAACCCAAATTTTGTTTTTAATTTCTAGCATTTTGCAGAAAAGATCAGCACCAAATGCGTCTTTACCCGAATTTTCTTCAGAAATTTTCTCCCACAATTCTGAGATTAAAAAACACCAAAACCAAAAGATCTTGGGGCTTCCACTAGGAACATGGAACAAAAGAGTGCGAACTTCCTAGCCAGAACTGGGTTCACCATCTAAAAGCAACCCACATTTTGTTTTTATTTTCTAACATTTTGCACTCAAGATCAGCACCAAATGCGTCTTCACCAGAATTTTTCTTCCCACAATTCTGAGCTTAAAAAACACCAAATGCATCTTTCACCAGTGGCCAGTAGGATGACCCAACCCCCTGGAGCCAGTGCATTTACCAAAATGGCATTTTCGACACGGAGAGGGCCTACTGCTGCTTTTGGACCCCAACTCCCTGCAGACAGTCGATCCTCCCAATCGGGAGTAACCAATGCCTTCAAGGGTTCCCCTGTCCGTCACAAGAGAAAGTGTAAGATGGCGGAGTCAGGCTGACGTCTTTTACTTCCGGGTGCACGAGGAGCTGGCGTGGGCCCGTGTGCAGGCTCCGGCTGGTCTGCTTTCCAAAAAAAAAAAAAAAAGAGCATGGGCCTACGAGCCTTATCTGATGGGGGAACAAACAGGTGTACAAAGAGCCTATGCATGTTACACATAAAGACTTTAGGCACCAGTACACCACCCATCGGCCCGCGGGTGTCAGCACGAAACCCGCACCGCTTCGGAGGCCGCCATTTTTTTTTTCCTCCGAGTTTTGCTTGTGGTTACAAAAACTTTCTGCAAGGCTGGGGCCGTCTGTGTAAGCGCCCCAGATAAGGCATCCGCCCCAAGTTTCAGGGGTTTGTCTACAATGTTACCAAAGCCTTGGAACCTCTGAAAGGTCCACTCATTCAATTTTCAAATTTCTGGTTGTAAACAAACCTGTTTTTTCCAATTTGGAACTTTTCTCAATATGTGTGTTTCATCCTTGCACCGCGCCCATGCTAATCTTCTGTGTACCGATCCAATTTTTACGGATGCCCAGAATGGTAGGGTGTCAACAAAGCTGTACGGACCACCACATATCCAACAGGACACATCATGGGACTCTTCGATGGAACAGACAAACGTTCAAGCGATACACTGTGAACAAGATGCCTATTCTTAATGGTACACAGTCCCCTACACACACACACACACACACACACACACACACACACAGAAATATACATTCCGTCAGGCTGCTTCAGCAAACAGCCATTGCACTGTGAACAAGATGCCTATTCTTAATGGTACACAGTCCCCTACACACACACAGACACACACACACACACACAGAAATATACATTCCGTCAGGCTGCTTCAGCAAACAGCCATTGCATGGCATAAATGACATTAAATGTACCACAAAATTCGCACCCGAAGCGACGAGTAGCTGAACGAGCGCAAATTGCCATATCCACAACTAACCGTCCACACGATCCACAGATTCCGAGTTCAAACTTGAAGTTGTAAGTTTGTAACATCTTAAACAATTGCAAAATGTCGGCTGCGAAATGTCAGGGGCGAAATGTCAGGGGCTAAGCCATTGGTGTAGCTCCTTTTCAGGTTTCAACTTTCAACTTTCAACTAATGAGCAGGAATGCAACGAAGCACGCACCGTTTCCCTTCCCTCCTTCAGCGGAAAATCACATTCTTAAATGATTCTTTACCAGACGACCGAAACTATGTGAGGGCCATCGAAAAACCGAAAGCAGGAAAGACTGCACGAGTGTCCTGAAAAGAAGCTTAAGTGTGAAGAACCCTCTATCCCTGGTGCTTCGGTTTTACTGGACGATCCAAACTGCGTGGAAGGCCGTCAAACAGCCAAAAACTTGAAAAAAGTGAAAAGACCACACGTGTCCGGAAAACTACAGAAGTGAGAGTGCAGGTTCAAAATATAGACCCTATGCCATGCTTTGGTTTAACTGGGCCAGCTCCCTGAAGGCTGTGACAATGGAGAAGCAGAAAAGACTTCGGGGCGGCCCGGCTGGGGCAAGGTTGCCCGGGTACCCTCCCGGTTGGCCCGGGACGGCCAGGGTCCGGACAAGGTCCCGGGCGGTCCCAGCACATAACATTGAAAAAAAATAGAAAAAAAAAAATCCAAAAAAAAGTGTTTTGTAAAATTGCAATACGAACAATGTTTGGCTGAGCGCCACCTCAAAATTCCTTGTTACTTCTAAAAGATAAAAATCAGTGCGAAAACATGAGTCGAAATGTACCCTTTTAATCCCCTTTAGTCATTGTTTATAAAATTATAACTTTATACCCCCCAAATCCCCTTACACAACCCATCACCAAAATCGAAGTTAAAACTGGATTCTGACCGCTTAGGTTAAGCGGAGTCCTGTCCTGAAGTCTTTTTCTTTTTTTTTGGGATCCTTGCCTCTTTTTTGACCCGTCTGGTTTTGCCTCTCTGCCCAACTGGCCGGGGTGTGCTGGGCAGGGCGACGGCCTAACATTGGAAAAGATCACAAAAGTGTCCCAAGAAATACAGAAGTCAGAGTGCAGGTTGAAAAAAACAAAACAAAAAAAAACTGGCGCGAACCGAGGAGCGCTGGACCACACCAATAACTAAGTATTCTGCAAGAAAAGGAAAACAGTTTGATCACTGGAGCAAGGACGAGCAAGGACGAGAACGTCGAGGAGTATATGAAAAATAACGACAAGATTACGGAAATTTCAAATCTTATTCATTTATGGGTTACTCTGTCATCATTGACGATATCCAAAGCTTGATAAGGATAAAAAAGGTACAGACCGAGTTGGAAAAGCTGTGTGATGCACTCAACTCCCCCCCCCCCCCCCCCCCCCCCCCCCCAACCCACCCAAAAAAAAGCCAAGGAAAGCAATAGCATGATGGTCTCCTCTTCTTTCCGCTGGACAAACAAACGGGCAAGGCGAGAGAAGACACAACATAACCCATGTACCCCACACCCCGGCGAGCCAACTCCACTAGCGGACTGCTACTTCAAAACAGGGAAAAGATTTACAAATCAAGTGTAGGTAACATATACACAATGCAAGAATGAGTCAGAATGACCACACAGTAGGTCCAAGGGGTGTTGACGCGCTCTGCCATCTCCGTGTGCCTCTAGACAACCCAGCTGTGGAGCAACAGAACAAACAATTACGTATGCACGGCATCCTCCACCCTGACACATAACTCTACTGCCCCATGACAAATGACTCGATCCATTCCCTCTTCATCCCTTCCCTTTTCGACCTTATGGGCCTCGCTCCACTGCACAACATCCTAAATGCATATGGAGCTAGAAATGGTCCCAACACGTTCAAAATGTCCGATCGGTCAGAATGAACATGGTCCATAAACAGTCCAGATACGTGTCGAATGTCGAGCGGTGGGGTGGGGCCCTATGACTCCCCAGTGACTAGGTTGACCTTTCTCAACCTATGCCCTCTGCTTTTCTAGGTAGTGTTGGCCATCGACAGCAACATTCTCGCCACAATCTTGCAGGGGCGCTGTAAGGATCTGACTACCACTTAGGTCCTGATTCTGATTGGCTTGTGGATGTATACTACAGAACATAGGCTCGATAAGGCCTGTACCCGAATACCCATTGACCATCACTGCTGGCGTTGCGTTTACAGCGGCAGTTGCAGGCAAGGATGGTCCACTCACCTTGTGGGTCGAAGAGGGATAGCTCTCTAGCAATGGATATGGTCCAATATTCGGGATGGACTGCGAGTGATGGTGGTGATGCTGTTGGTGGTGCTGCTGCTGATGGTTCCTGTGGTGAGCATGGATTGGCAGATGAAGAGTCGATGGCCCTGCTTGCCAGTTGGGGATCATGCAGCCCGGTTGGCAAGAGGGGAAGAAGGCGGGACCCCCTCCTCCAAGCACCCCACTGCCAAGAGGTGGTGGAGGCGTACTGTTCACGACGTCTGCTTGAGGCTGTCTGTCGGAAATGCTGCCATCTGTGCGGCATACTGCTTGGCTTCGGGTGCGATTGCCATCTGCTGTTTCCGCCTCCGGTCTTCCCATCGCCACAGCCCGGTTGAAGAACGAGCAACGCTCCTTGCTTCTGGCGCTTTCGCTAGGATTCTTGCTCCTCCTTCGTTGTCCCCCTGCACCAACATTGCCTTTCTCCATACTACTCTGTGGTTGGAAGAGAGTCTGAGGGACATCTGTGCACTCTGGGCAGTCGTGCAGGTTCCGAAACGACCCCTCACCGATCTCAGAATGATTGGCAGCTTCAGCTGAAGGAGGAGGAGGAGAGGGGACACTCGAAGAAAACAGCTCATTGCTTATCCTGGACCCAATCTCGCTCAGCAGCGTCCGAAGACGTCGATTCTCCTGTTCAAGGGTTTCCTGATGAGCCATGACAGAAATGCAAGATGTTGCAAAAGTGCAGAGGTCAGCACACAGCCGTAAAACAACCACATAGAACAATGCTGTTGTCCCTTCGCCTCATCAGAGTCATCACGACTCCACACTCACTTTTCACCAGGTTCAATTTCAATCACCACATCATCATCACTCCAATCCGTGGTGTCACTGCGTCGATCTTGTGGACGAAGAATCATTCTCACCACATCATCATCACTCCAATCTGTGGTCCCAGGCATGTACCATTCAGTCACTACTAGGGGACAGATCCCCACAACGTTTTTCTCATTTACGTTTCTTTATACCCACGAAAAGAGCAAAGAAGTGTTGTCAATGATTGATTGATTGATTGATTGATATCTGCTGAGCTGAACATCATAACTGCCGTCATGAGGCCGCACTGTTTTCAAACAAGAGCTCAGTTCCAAGGGGCAGGTGCAGACAGGTAGTGGAGAAAACAGAGGCAGAAGACCCAAAAATGAAAGAAAAAACGACAGGAAACGGGCCTACCTCAGTCGGTACACCCATGAACTGTACAGAGCGAAGTTTGAATCCAGACACAATCGAATGAACAGAATAAATCATTCTGAATAACCAGGAGCCGGTCAGTTAAACGACGATATCTCATACTTCTCAAATAAGGGGCAGGACGCACTGGTGCCATGTCCTTGCTAAGTAAAACATGAACCTGCCTACTTATACAACTAGGTTCATGCTTTCTGAGTACAAACATAGCACCTGCTGGGCCTGCCCCCTAAGGCTTTAGGCGTTACTCATCCCTTGTCGAGCACATGATTGCTTCGTAGATATCGTGGACTTTGTAGAAGACACGCATACCATGAATGGTGTGGGTTCAAATCCCTCGTCCACCGGTCGTTTATAACAAGCAGAAAGAGATGCAGGTTTACTTATGTCTGCAGGCACAGTCATCCTTGAGAAAGTACATGCTTGGAGAGCACTGTACCAGGCCAGCACACACTATAACATGGTTCTCCGGCATTGTGGACCTACAGAGCACCTCAGTTTGATTGGGTCATCAGTGAGTGGGACACCCACATTCATCTCATGCTATAGCAATAGCTGCAGATGGGGACAGCGCATCTGTGTTAAGGGAAGTTCAAACCCAACCTGAGGCGCATCCAAGCAGGGAGGGGCAAGCGAGCACAACCTGAGGGATATCCAGACACTTAAAGAATGCAACAATGATGCTGACTGGTAGGAAAGGCACAGGGCAAAGGCATGAAAATACTATGAATAATATATAAATATTTGAATATGTATTATTGAACTGCTTTCCACTGCTGGGGGATCAGCACAGTGACATACTGCCACACAGACTGGGAGATCAACATAATGATGGAAAGACCAGCAATCTTACGAAGCAACAGAAAGACTTATGCACCAATGTTCCAGCTGAATAGTAGGATGGACCAACAAAATGACAGATGGACCTATGGCTACCTTCCATTAGGTTGATGGTGATTGTTTGATCTCTCTGTTTCTCTGTCTGTCTG